GGGCAGCACAACTTCCTGTTCAGTGACCTGTATCCCTTTCCATTGATGAGGAAAACTAAACATTTTTAACTTCTGTGTTAGCCTGTGACAGTTTGGAAGCACGACTTCAAGCTATAGCACAGACAAGTTAGCAAGAACCTTCCCTCTTACAGCTGAATTAGGAACTCAATTTCTTTTTTTTTTGGTGTCACTTGTTAAGTGACCTGAATTCTCAAAATAGTGAAAACCACAGCACCCCTGTTTCTTTAGAATTACTTTAAAATAATAGCTAATTTTATCAGATGCCTACTAAAATACACCAGGTACAGCATGAGGCACCTTACTTTCTTGAACTAATTTAATCTTCATGATAGCCTCATGTTACTGATGAAACTAAGGCTCAAAAAAAAGTGACTTGCCCACAGTCACACAAATAAGCCTGTTACTAGCGGAGCAGAAATAGGACCCTGAGTCTATGTGATTCAAAGCTGGTGCTGCTCTCTCTGTCATGTGCTACTGATCCCCCTGGCTTTCTGCATATCTACTCATGAAGCCTTTCCTTCTCATTTCCCAGAGTCATCTGGAGCCCAAGGCTGCCCCCCTTACATTTCCTGACACTGCCAGTGGTTTGTACACCTGCCTGTGCTGATTCTCTGCCTAGGAAAGGACCATGCAACTGGAGATCAAAGTGGCCCTGAACTTCATCATCTCCTACCTGTACAACAAGCTGCCCCGGCGCCGGGCAGACCTGTTTGGTGAGGAGCTAGAGCGGCTCTTGAAAAAGAAATATGAAGGCCACTGGTACCCTGACAAGCCACTGAAGGGCTCTGGCTTCCGCTGTGTCCACATTGGGGAGATCGTGGACCCCGTGGTGGAGCTGGCTGCCAAGCGGAGCGGCCTGGCGGTGGAGGATGTGCGGGCCAATGTTCCTGAGGAGCTGAGCGTCTGGATTGACCCTTACGAGGTGTCCTACCAGATCGGTGAGAAGGGAGCTGTGAAGGTGCTGTATCTGGATGACAGCGAGGGCTGTGTTGCCCCAGAGCTGGACAAGGAGATCAAGAGCAGCTTCAACCCTGATGCCCAGGTGTTTGTGCCCATCGGCAGCCAGGACAGTTCCCTGTCCAACTCCCCATCGCCATCCTTTGGCCAGTCGCCCAGCCCCACCTTCATTCCCCGCTCTGCCCAGCCCATCACTTTTACCACAGCCTCCTTCGCAGCCACCAAGTTTGGCTCCACCAAGATGAAGAAGGGTGGCGGGGCAGCGGGTGGGGGTGGTGTGGCCAGCAGTGGGGCAAGCAGCCAGCAGCCCCCACAGCAGCAGCCTCGCATGGCCCGCTCTCCCACTAACAACCTGCTGAAACAGAAGAACCTCTCTCTGTCTCTGCATTCACTGAACTTCATCACCGCCAACCCGGCCCCTCAGTCCCAGCTCTCGCCCAATGCCAAGGAGTTCGTGTACAACGGCGGTGCCTCTCCCAGCCTCTTCTTTGATGGGGCCGATGGCCAGGGCAGTGGCACCCCGGCCCCCTTTGGGGGCAGTGGGGCTGGCACCTGCAACAGCAGCAGCTTCGACATGGCCCAGGTATTTGGAGGTGGCACCAATAGCCTCTTCCTGGAGAAGACGCCCTTCGTGGAAGGCCTCAGCTACAACCTGAACACCATGCAGTACCCCAGCCAGCCGTTCCAGCCGGTGGTGCTGGCCAACTGACCGCCCACCTGCCCGCAGGGCCAGGAGCACCCAAGACCACAGAAAAGAGAAAGGAAAGGAAAGGCCAAAAAAAGAGGAAAAGAAAAATATACAAAAAGATTTCCAATCTTCTCACTCTAACTTCTAGAAAAAAGATCCAGCCCAGGCATGGAGAGGGAGGGGGCTCCCGAAGCACCGAATCGTGTTTAACTCAACCCCCTGCTATTTTCCTGCCTGCCTCTGATTTATTTGGTTTGGGTTTTATATTTCTTTTTTTTTTCTTTTTTCTTTTTTTTTTTACATGTAGTTTTCTATATAACATCTTTAATTAGTGGCTTCCTGTGCTAAGAATGGTCCAGATGTGAATTGCTGCTCCCTGCTCCTTCCTTCCCTGCTCCCTCCCGTCCGCCCTCTCTCCACAGCCTGGTTTAGGGTTGGTGTGTCCAAGCTCATAGCGAAGGGAGAACCACAGCTAGGTCTGGCCCTCCTCAGAACCTCAGAACAGGGAGAGCCTGCCCCATGTCACTGCCTCCATCATCCAGCTATCCTCTCACTCAGAGCCATCCAACCTCAGCAGGCCTCGGGCCCTGCCGCCCAAATAGGTCTGACTCCAGCCCCTACTCCCTCTCAGGCCTGGGCCCTAGGCAGCTGCTTGCCACTTGACACCCTCCCCCTGGAGCTGATGTCCGTGACTCCAGGGAGGTCAGCACTCTGTCTAGTGTAATTCCTTCCATTTCTGCCCTGTGGCCCCACGCCACCTTCCCCACCTGGCCCAGACTGTCACTGAGGCCCTGGAGACCCAGTGGTTGGCACATGTGACGCCTCCCATGCATCCCCTTCCCTGGGCCTGAGGTGGAGAGGGAGGTGGGGCAGGTGCAGGTGTGTATGTGCGTGTGTGCACAAGGCTTGCTGTCCTGCTTTAAAGGATTCCGAGGCATGTGAAACTTCCCTTCTGGGTATGATTCCGGGTTGCAGCAAGTGCTTATGTATGTATGAGGTTGGGGGATGGGCGGGGGTGGGTTGTCAGTCTTTTTGTAGGGTGGTTCACATGGCAGGGCGAGACTAGCAGAGCCTAAGACACTCCCAGGGGAAAGTACTGCAGAAGGAACTGGTTTCCAGACTGCGGAGGGATCTGCACTTCTGTTTTGACCAAAAAAGGGGGGGGGGGTTAGCTGTGAGGTGCTGAAAGAATACCCAGCCTCTGAAACCTAAGAGAAGTCCCTGGACTGAGACCCTCCTATTATGTTACCTTAGCCCAGGGTGGGAGTTTGGGTCAGTGTCTGTAGTGGGCAGTCCTAAGCCTTGAATTGAGACTTTGGTCTTTCAGTTACAGATGTTGTTTTAGTACATTTCTTCCCCTGCCTGCTTGAGAACCTCTTGGTACCTCTTGCCATCCTCCGTCACTGCCCATCCCAGCCCCCGGGCCCTGATGCTGTGAGGAGAGTTCCGGGCAGGCTGAGCTAGACAGGCGCTTGGTCATCACAGGTGGTATGTTTGGACTGTTGAAGAGGCTCACTCCCCACCTGTGCTGGAGAGAAGTTGTTTGACCAGACCCCAGTGGACTAGCTTCCATGCTATGACACTTCGGCAGGTGGCGCACACGACATGAGAGCCCCCATCACCAGAAAGTACCAAAGCCCTCGACACCCCACTCCCTCCTCCCCAGTCCCCAAGTGGGCAACTGCTGTGGCAGTGTGTCCTGCCCCGACAGACACTGCCAGCCTCCTCTCCCTGCAGTGGGCGCCAGCTCTACCTCCCCGAGCCAGGCTATGCCCTGGCTCCTCGGCCCAGCACCATCTGTCCCCCTAGACTTCTCAGGGGCCAGCCCAGTCTGGGCCACCCTCTCCCTAGCCCTCAGCTCCCACAAAGGTGACAGGCCCAGGCTGCTCTCTGGGAAAGGTTGGATGCTGCCTTATCCCTCTTCCCACTCCTCCTCTCACATACACACAGGCACCCACCACACCCTGGCCAGCTTGTTTCTCACCACATGGAGAGTGGGAGACCAACCCCTTAGTGTCTTTTGAAATATGAAGTAAAGTATGTATTCAGGAGCATGATTCCTGTGCTGGGCTCTTAGGCCCACTTCAGTCTGTCTGTCTCAAACCTAGGCATTTTTGCTTCAATTTTATTTTTTTTAAGAAAAAAAGAAAAATCTGCACTAATTTACCTGGTTTCGTAGGAAAACTTTTTTTTTATTTTTTACATTTTTTGGTGTCCGTTTGTATTGAATAATTTGCTACATTTGTAAGATGTAAGAGGTATATATAATATATGTATATTTCTAACGTAAAAAATGTAATTTTTTCTTTTCAAGATTTTTTCTTAAAAAGAGGAGACAAACAAAGATATTTTTTCAGGAAAAACAAACTTTAAAATAAAAAAAAGGAGAATACAACCTATTTTTCCCCTTTCCCCATCCTCTATCTACCCCTCTTTCCCAGAAACAAAAGGTGGATTGTCTTGTAAAGAATGTAAACTTTTAGTCCAGAATGATGTATTTTTCTCAATGCAGTAAGCTTAGATTCTCTAGTTTGACCCCTAGGGATGGGAAGGGGGGGGCATTGAGGCAACATGGAGAGGAGCTTGGGGGGAGCAGGGTAATGAACTTGTTTTCTTTAGTGAAGGAGGAATACAATCAAGCGTTTTGTATTCAGAATGTTGTGCAATATTTTGGAATGGGACATTGGTGTGTTTAGAGATTTAGTTTAAAAACAAAACAAAAAGATTGATCAAATCTGTACAGTTTATATTGTTCCAGATTTTTTTAAGTTTGTATTAAAAGCATGATACATAATAGCCTTCTGCATGCTCCCTGCTTGTTTTGTTTCTGGGGTCCCTTTTAGTATGGAGATAGTGGGAGTGACCCAGCCCCTGTTGGCTTCAAGAAATGACTGATCATCCTCACCCAACCCCTGGGTAGGCACAGTGTCACAGGCCCCTTTTTGCCACCTCTCCCATCAACACAGGACACCTCAGGGCGCCCACTCCCACTGGTCCTTGTCCACATTGGAAACAGGTTCCACGAGGCAAGGAACGGCCCCAGCTCTCTGCTGACAGGTGGTGAAGTCAGGACACCCCTCCTTGGGGACTGGCAGACCAAGCAAGAGCTCAACCTCCAGCCTGTCCTCCATCTAACATTTGCCCACCCAGACCACTAGACTCCTAGAAGTGGGCAAGGATGAGAAGACCACCCCCTAGGTCAGGTTCCAAAAACCTGGTGCTGAGACTTGGCCCTTCTCTGGGCAATTCTGAATCTGCTTCAGGGGTGAGATAGCCTGCCTGAGCCCGGGCTGGGGAGGAGCCAGCCCTGATCTCCGTAGGAATTCAGCCACCTCCCCAGCAGTGATGCACATCAGCCCCACAAGGTCCCTGGGTGGAAGGGGCGGACAGGTATTTGTTGAATCTTATTTCACCCTCACAGCAACCTGGTGATACAGGTGTTATCTCCATGGTACAATGAGAAGGGCTCCAAGTTAGATTACCTGCTAAATTCATAAAGCCAATAAGTGGGGAAACTTAGATTTTAACCCATGTGTGACTTTTTCATGTATAAAACTGGTCATTGCTATGGAAGAGTGACACTGGTGGTGGGGGTAAGAGGACTGATCGCACCATCTCCATCCAGGCTGGGGCATCAGCGGGATGGGGATTTCCTCACGTCCCTCACTCCCCCAGACAGGTCCACACCCATTCCCTCCCCATCCAAGTGTGTAAACTGGGCCTAGAAGCTTTCAGGCCAAACATCCCACCTCTGCACAAGGTCCCAGGAGCCTTTGATGTCTGGCCCCTTCATGAGCTGCTTCCCCCCAGCAGAGCCTGTCGAGGAGAAGCCCAGCCTCTCTCGGTGTCCCATCTGTGGGCCCCAGGGCCCCTCACATAGTCACCCCTATTTGTTAGTATAAATAAAATGCCTAGCACAGGTCCTGCTATGAGAGGGCCCATAGCCACCTGTTCCCACTCCCTGTGCACATGCCAGAGAGCTGACAGGCCCGGGGAGGCCCAGCTCAGGTGCCAGGATTACCTTCCTGGGCAGCCCCTCCAGCCGAAAGAATGGAGACTCCAGATCTGAACAAACCTCCAAATTCTCCAGGACTCAGGCACAGAAGTGATTCATTCATACGTTCATGCCTCCATTTATTCACCAAACACGCTCTGAAGCAGTACAGTGGTAGACCTGGAGGTAAGGAAAGAAAGAACTTTCTGGTAGACTCAATTCTTTGGGGAAAAGGGCTCATTTATTCACAAACATCCCATGAGCACCCACTGTCTGCCCTGGGAGCACAGGCGGGACTGCAGTTACAGGACAGGTGTACACAGGGAGCCTGGGAGCCCAGGGATCAGGAGGCAGAGAAAAACCAGGAAGGAAAAAAGCAAGGCCAAGGTCCCTCCCCAGGGAACGTGTCAGGAAGGTGCCCAACACAAAGAGTCTATACTCTGCTCCCTGAGAAGACATGGATTCCATTCCTGCCCCTGTGGCTCCCTAGCTGGGTAAGCTCAAGCAACCACTCTGCCTACTCAGGCACCTCAGTTCTCTTACCTCTTAAATGGGCATAAAAATGACACCTATGTGTGAAAACTAAGTGAAACAGTGAGTGGAAAATGCTAAGCAGGGTGGCTAACCCAGAGTAAATGACAAGGATCATTTCCTCATCAGAGCTATTATCATCCATCCTCAAACACCACCAGCCAACCCAGTCCAGGATGCTGCCTTGCATCAGCAAACAGGCCGAAACCCAACCCCACCAGCAGGAGGACCAGGCTGGGGCGGAAAAGGAAACTCCATTCTCAGAGCAGACACTAAGCTGGCCCCCAGTTTGCCCTCTGCCCAGATGGGAGGCTGCCTGTCCCTCAGCAAAACAGCGTCCTGAAAACTGTACTCATCACTCTCGATGTGTGTCCCGAAACCTCCTGGGAGTTTATCCCTAGAGAACAGTTGGGCGGGTGGGGGTGAGTCATGGAGGCAGGAGAACCCTGCTCCATTCGTCACTGCCTGCCTGAGTCAGTGTCCACCCTTAGGCCAAGGGGATGCCACTGTCTGGTCTCCTCGCTGCCACCTCCCCCTGAGTGAGTCATGGGGTGGAGGGGCACACTCTTGTCCTCCCTCCTCTCCCTGGGTCTGGCCAGCCAGTTCAGCCAAGTCCTGAGTGGGCAGGGCCTAAGCACAGGCTGGGACCAGCCAGGAAGTCTACAAGCCCCTGGGCAACAGGAACCTGCTGATTTGCTGGGTTTTAATTTGGGGAATTTCAATGCCAGCAAGAGAAGTGGGTTCTCACGGCTGCCAACTCTGTGTAATGTCAAATATCTCTTTCCCCTCCTGACATCCGTCCCATGTGTACAACAAGAGACAGTGAGACCAGGCCCCGGCCCAGCTAGGCCATTTGGGCTGGCCCCTAGACCAGCACCTCTTCCTGCTCCACTGGCTCCCGAGCGCTGGTGAGGGCCCTAAAGGACCCTGTGCTGTGGTACTTTTCCCACGGAGGGGAGAAAAGAGTGATGGGCTGATCCCTGGGTGGGACCACGTGGCTAGCAGCTGAGAGCCCTGCAGGCATGAGGACTTGCTCAGAATAACGCTGGCTTGTGGCAGGGCTGGGTAAATCCAGGCAGGAGAAGAGGCCTGGCCCAGCCACCTGGACATCTGGGTCATTCGGCTGGCTCTGCCCTGATTTACTGCATTAAACATCTCAACATTCAACATTTACTGTTCAACATGGAGCCCCCATAAGAGCTGGACACTGTTCCAGGCATCTTCCTGAAGATGATGGTCTATTAACCACAAACAAGTAAGTGAGGAATATGTCAGATGGTGAGGCTGTTCCACTAAGACAACTGAAACTGGCAACCAAGTGGTCCCTTTAGACTGGGAGGTCAAGGGAAAGGGAACCGTCCCAAAGAGGGAGCTTTCAATCTGCATTACAAGAGAATTAGCAGAGAGAGCAGCAGAGGGGTCAGCCACTTCCAGGGCGAGGTAGGAACAAGCATGGTGTGTGTGCTCAGGGAATGAAAAGTTCAGCGGCAAACAAGGGGCAAGCAGCACAAGATGAGGTGGAAGAAGTCCTCAGGGCCACAGCATGGGCCCTCTAGCATAGCTGAGGAGCTGGGATTCAATCTTCAATGTGAGAATTAAGTCTCTCACCTCCAGTGCGCCGCATCTGTGGCTAGGAGCAGAGCGAGTGAGGAATGTACTCACAAATTCAATCAACAAACCTTCCCAGAGTCCCTACTTTGTGCCAGGTCCTGAGCTGGGCCCTGGGCACAGGCCTGCTGGAGGACGGAGGGTACTTCTAGTGATAGAAGAGAGACCCACGTCACTGTGACTTCGGCACCCAGATCAGATCTATGGCAGAAGGAAGCCCAGGGAGCCATAAGGGCCAAGAGGAGGCTCCTCCCCTGCCCAGGAAGGCTCTTACGAGGGTGGATAGAAGCCAGTGGGTGAGGAGCTGTGGCCCAGCACACATGAAAGTACTCTTGTGTGGGCTCGTACAGTGACACCTGGACACAGCATGGAGGGGCTCCAGGAAGTGGCAGGGGCGGGGGACGAACAAGACTCAGGAACGGAGGAGCAAGACTCAGGAACGGAGGAACAAGGGGGTGAAGCCATGGGCACAGCAAGCATCAATGACCCCTTCAAGAAGCCGCAGAGACATCCAGACGGCAGACATGTAGAACTAAAACTACAACACGTCTAACAAGAAAACAGGGGGGAAATTCTTTGTGATCTTAAGTTATGCGAAGATTTCTTAGAGATGACTTTGAAAGAATGATCCATAAAAGACTGATAAATTGGACTTTATCAAAATAAAAAAACTTTCCCTAGACACTGTTAAGATGTTCCAGACTGGGAGAAAATATTTTCAAATTATGTATCTGGTAAAAGAGCTTATATATAGGATCTATGAAGAACTTTCAAAACTCAACTATACCATTTCACAGTATAAAATATATTTGATATATATAAATATCAAATCATTATGTCAAACACCTGAAACTAATATAATGTTATACATTAGGTATATCTCACTTCAAAAACACTCAATTCTGAAAAAAAACAACCCAATACAAAACTGGGCAAGACTTCAATAGACACTTCTCAAAGAAGATATATGAATGGCAAATAAGCACATGAAAACACACTTACCACCACAAGTCATTAGGAAAATGCAAATTAAAGCCACAATGAATACACTTATTAAAAAGCTAAAAGAAAAAGACTGACCATACCAAGCGTTACCAAAGATGTGGAGGAATTAGTAAATTTCATACACTGCTGGTGGGAATGTAAAATGGTACCACCACTTTGGAAAATAATTTAGAAGCTTTAAAAGTTAAACATTGTGGGGGAGGGTATAGCTCAGTGGTAGAGCACCTGCTTAGCAAGCACGAGGTCCTGGGTTCAATCCCCAGTACCGCCCTTTAAATAAATAAAAAAATAAATAAACCTAATTACCCCCCCAAAAAAGTTAAACATATATCTACAATGATCCAGCCATTTCATTCCTGTTCACTCATAAGAAAATGACACAAATATCTATACAAAGACTTGTACACAAATGTTCATAGCAGCTTAATTTGTTAGCCCCAAACTGTAAACAACACAAATGTTCTTCAAGAGGTGAATGGTTGAACAAACTCCAGTACATCCACACTATGGAATACTATGCAGCAATAAAAATGAACTACTGATACAGGCAACAATATGAATGAGTTTCAAAGTATTAATGCTAAATGAAATCCAGAACAAAAAAAGAATACATACTGTTTGAATCCATTTATAGAAAATTCTAGAAAGTGCAAACTAATC